ACCTAGTACCTTTCACTCCAAACGCCGTCGTGTTATCCACTCAGCTACTGAGTCCTGATAGCCACTTGTTTGTGCAATGGGGTGAAGCTTAAAATCACTTAGTATTGTTTTGTTTGAATCTCAGTAGCTGAGAGGATAACGTGATGGCGTTTAAAGCGAAAGGTACTGGGTTTGAGTTCCAGAGTGAACATCAATTCTTAGATGCAGGTACATCTAGCTGACGAGTCCTAAATAGAACGAAACGCGCGTCCTGGATTCCACTGCTAGCTACTATCCTTCTTTGCTTATAATACTCGCGAATTAAGGCTATATCGAGGCGATACGCACAGTATGCACATATGACCAATAAGAGACTGTCCAGTTGCAGTCCTAAACAACAATGGAGAGATTCAAACAAAACGATACCAAGTGAATTTAAAACTAACTAATAAACAATGGCTACTAAGTATTTTCAAGACTCTTAAACACTTGATTGGAACTTTCAGGATATACATGAAGATATTTATAAGATGTCATGCAGGATATAATATTTGGTTACACTTTGAATATATGATGTAAATTCTAACCTCTTCTTACAAGTATGAAGCAATTGTATTTAAAACGTTTGAAAGACTTTCTGTTCTCTACCGTGAAGAAAACCTGAAATGTTTCAAGTCATTTATACATTCGTACATCTATATCAGTTATATCTGTATACTGTATACTATCTATGAACTTCTGTCTAAATATGAACGAACACTTTTACAGTAATTGGGCATTGAATTAATGGAAAAAATGAACAAGTATGCTATATTCATAGAAATATCAGCGATTGAAATTAAAATAAGTCTAATCAGTTCATTTTTGATATTAAATTATTTCCCTTTAAAAAACTTGAACTAGAACATTCCCAGAAAATTTAAAAACAAACATGATTCAAGTGTTTGTATCTGGAGATTCATTCCTTGCATTTAATCAGGAACTATCAATACTCTCTACCGTAACATGTATAACAATTAATAAATGGTGGCCTGCTTAAACATCTGGGCTACCTGTTTGTTTTAATACATCATTATGACTATTAATCGTACAACCTATTCAGGTGCGTTTCTCAAAAGTGTACAACCTTTAGCTGTACAAGTTACAAAAGGCCTAATCAAAGATATTGTGATTTCTGGCAATATAAATCGAAAAGAATGTACATTATTCATATATCGATTGACTGGACTGTTAACATGTAACTAGCGATCACTCAATATTTGTCGTCAGGATCTATGAAGAAGTAAAACGTAGAAACTTTTTGAAATACTTTGCGCTGAGAATTCTATATTGTACCAAGAATATAATATTGAATAAAGCTAGTAATGATAATAATAATAAACTAATTTGTTATGTTCACATTACTACAAATTATAACAATCATTATTGATCGCCTAGCCTTATTATCTTTACTGCTGCAAATGGATAGGAAAAAATGTTATTCACATACATAAACCCTTAATCATATCCATTTAAAATAAGAATTAATCTGTTATTTACAATAAAAGCTTTCCTTTTAATCGATCAATGAAATAATTACATTTCAACTGATTCAGTATATTGTAAACTGCAGTTAAAATGGATTCATTTTGTAATGTTTATTTGAATCTTCCAATTGATGTTTAGAACTGCAATTGATCAGTCTCTTATGGGTATGTATGCACACTGTGCATATTGCCATGATATTGCCTTGAGTCGCAAGCGAACAGTACTGTGTTCGAGTCTCGGAGTAAACATCAACTCTGAGATGCAGGTACATCCAGCTGATGAGTCCCGAATAGGACGAAGCGTGTGTACCGGATTCTACTACTAGCCACTATCCATCTTTACTTATACAGTTGAAATATTTTACTGACAGATTTGTCAGTATTAAACAAACAGCTCTTACTTTCAAAACAATTTCAGTACTTTGGTTCTAAATGAAATACTTACTCTTTTAAATTTTAACAAAAACCAGAACTGTAAAAGATGTATTTAGCATATTTAAGGTTTTTATTAAACAGTTTCCTACTTGAATAAAACCTAAATGGGTTGGAGAAATCTCTTGATCTTCTGCAACGGGTAGTGATTTGAAACTATGCTCAGGGAAGTGATTGTTTAAAATATTTCATACAATTAGCTCACTTTATAAATCTGAATAAGATCGAAATAAAAATTAAAGCTCGATGGTTAAGCCGTTCAACTTTCACACTGTAATTGATGAGTTTGAATCAAACCCCAATTATTTCATCAATTGTCGTTATGATTTCATTGGAATTTATAAAAAGATATGATAAGTTCATATTACTCATTCCCGAATAAAGAGTGAAGTATCATTACATTACTTAACAGCTAAAAGATCTGCTGTACAAGAATGTCATGAATGATTATTCTTAATAATAAAAGATAACATTTAACAACATATGTTACAATTATAGGTACTCTTCACTACGATTTCATCTTTGTTTATTAGCTACTGGAAATATGCTATTACTGAGTTAAGATGGTGGTTGGAGGTTGTCAACAGGAAACCTTGAGCCCGGGTTTCGTGCTACTTGGTACTCGTCAGCAAGGCGTACCTGTGATCTTGAGGGAGCTGGTGCTCCTCCACGGATTCGATCCCGTGTCACCCAGCTTCACAGTCAGAGAGGTTACCACTGAGCTAACTGGGCCGCAATGGCATTCTATCTGCACTAAGAACGACTTGACACACATGACAATGATCACCACCCAGTGATCAATCAATTGTGATATGCTATTATGTTCATTATTGGAGTCATTGAAATATAAGAAGAATCGAACAACTATTTTATTCAAGTATGAAATTAATTAAAGTATAATCAATTAAAAAGGTTTTAAACGTTAACAATTTCACAACTACCCAAGTCGTGAAGTAATCATTAAATGATACCAATAACTAATATCTATTTGACATTGTTTGTTTTGTTAGCAGTAACAAAAGAAAGATTGGAATACAACTGATTCAAATTATTTATATATACGCCCTGACATTTCCGATAAGACTAAAGTTCGGTTATAATTGATCCATACTACTAACGATATTCTTTATTAAGAAACAAATCATTGAGTAATTGAGGGAATTCTACAAGAAGCTCTTTATCTAATTTTCATGCTCATAACCTTAAGGGAATTCATTTACCCAGTGTAACTAAAATTTGCATCACTGAATATTGTAACCGGTAGCTTAAAAACATTATATACACAAAATAGAATCAATTAGGCTAGTGCCCAAAATGTACTCTCGTGTCAGATCTAAAGACTAAGTAAACACGACACAGACTGCTACTCAGAAATTAATCAATATAAGCTACTAAGTTTCGACACTATTCGTAATAATTTAGGAATGAAGTCTGTAAAGATATATAAAATATTTAGTACTTTGAACAATATAAGCATAATTTGGATAATAGTTCTGTAAACTACCTTCACTGAAGAATTATTCACACTTTACCTTAACAACTTTTTAATATATAACCCAACAAATTTTTTAGTTTCTTTTTTGTAGTATTTGATAGTTCACTAAGCATTACTCATCATATGAACCGGAATCCTTTATTATCTTATATACATATAAAGAGAAACTATATATATAGTCTTTGATCCAATAAACTAGATGAAATCAAAAGAAAATTATCTTCAGAAAGGGTTTTTGTGAAGATTTAGTATTTTCATGATTGAAATCATGAGTCAATTGAATCTAGACCACCAGGGAAAACCTGGAAGCACTGGACAGCCGTTTCGTCCCATCGTGAGACTCAACAGTAGTGCGTATCTACGATCTCGCCTTGCGGGATTCGGACCCAGGATCTACCAGTCTCGAGTCAAAGCCCTTAACCTCAAGACCACTGAGCCAACATCCGATGGTGCTAATGTCTAACTTCAACCAGTCCACGAAGTTGAGAAACCGCTTACTAATTGTAGATGCGCACTGCTGAGGAGTCCCACAATGGAACGAAACGGCCGTCCAGTGCTTCCAGATTTTCCTTGGTGGTCTAGCTTCAATTGACTCATATTTTCAACTATGAAAATACAGAAAATTATCTATTCCTTTTTCTTTGACTGAAAATTCATCATTAACTGAACACAGTAGTAAGTCAGTTGTTCCAGCTCTTCGTTACATCAACATTCATAAGTAATAAGTGACTATTTGAAAAAAAATATCTCAAACCCAGTATTACAAAATTCTTACTCTTCATACTATAAACAAATGACAATACAACTCAGTGCTTTATTAAAGGCTACCTAAACCGGAAAAATCAGAAATCATATCAGTAATATATTTGGATTTCTTTGAAAAAAGTCGATGTTCCGATGCGAAGCTGTTTCGGGGTGTAAAAGGTAGAGCAATTTGACATTATTAGAAAAGATTTTAGTGATATAGTTGTTGATAATCTCGACTGGATTTTGGTTATTCTTTTATGCACAATTATATCCCGTGAGAAATACATCGATCTAGACATTCTCCAGAAATTTCTAACAGAATAGACGGACTTTGACTAGTGGTATAATTTAGAGTGTTTGTTTCGTTTTGTTAGCGATCCATCAGCCGGATAAATTTGCACCCGTTTGACGTCCACTCTGAGACTTAAACCAAATGCCTTTCGCTTCAAATGTCAACACTGAATCCTCCTAGCGACTGAGTTCGGATAGCCATTCACTTATACAATAGGTACGAATCTTCATTTAATTTGAAATTGTTTGAACTATCCATTTGTTGATATTTTGACAGTACTTTTACCGTTCTTATTTAGCATATATGACTTTGTCTAAATCGCCCCGATATAGTTATAATGTTACAGGTGTATACAAAGATAGCTTAAAATGTGACTAGTAATGAAATTCAGGACTCATAAGCCAGGTACATCTAACTGATGAGTACTAAATAGGGCGAAATGCACTTTCTGAATTTTCCCAGCTAGCTAGATTTCATCTATTCTGCATGTAAGTAAAAAAGAATGATAATTAAACTTGATTAAACTTACCCAAAAAAGAATAAACGATCTATCGGTCTTTTATATCCCATACGTTTTGAAGTTAAAGTAAGTATATGTTCAGCAAATCGAAAAGTTATTTCACTTGGTTTACCCAATAATGATGTATAACGTAATTTATAACCAGTTAATTGATTATATAATGTTTGTAAACAAATTAAAAATGCACCATGACCAAATCTAGGCAATGCAGCTTTATCCATATAAACTAAATCCATATTACATGCAATTATTGGTATATGTTCTTCAGGGAATGTTTCAGGTACTTCATCCGGTTTACCATCAGTCATTAATAAATCAACTAATAATTGTAAACTTGACTCCCATTTTGCTGGTTCACCAGTTAAGATTATAGCTAAGGTAGAATTATGAAAAAATGACAAGGAAATTTGTAAAAATTCTTCTTCTCAAATATACTAACATCAAAGATAGATGTTCATTACTAACTCATGTCAGTTAGTGAACTATTTGACTTACAATCAGAAGGGGTTTTGTGAAAATTTCAGTATTTTTCAAAGTTGAAATCATGAGTCAATTGAAGCTAGACCACCATGGAAAATCTGGAAGCACTGTGACTGCCGTTTCGTCCTATTATGGGACTCCTCGGCAGTACGTCCTGGGTTCGAGTCTCGCGAGTGCGGGATCGTAAATGTGCACTGCTGAGGAGTCCCACAATAGGACGAAACGGCCGTCCAGTGTTTCCAGGTTTTCCATGATGGTCTAGCTTCAAATGACTGATGATTTTAACTTTGAAAAATATTAGACGTACTTTGAGTCTTCCGAAATTTCACATGAATTCAGATTAGAAGTTTTCAAATCTTATGGTGTAAATGATATCACTAGGATTGTTAGGTCTAAATTTACATATCTCTTATTTATTTAAGAAGTGGAGTCACTTCATTTTGAGAGGCTTTATTTATAAAGCAAACAAGGCGACTTTTTGTTTTTTGAATAGATCATAGTCTTATATGCTGAATAAATTTTTCTTTACTGTTATCATTAGTAACGGTGAAGAACTTCACAGGTCAACTATGTACCAAACCATTAGACTGACTGTACTTATTTTTAACACATACCAACAAGCTTATGTATTTCAATGTGAGGATTACCTTACTAGAGAACTCCAGCTTTAGTTATAAGTTTGCAACAACACTAATGTATTCACACATATAAATAATCAAGGGCTATGTACTATACAGTAGTAGTATAATTTATTTTGATGGGGTTTTGTTCTCTGAGCTGGATGGTTTGGTTGTGGAGCTTTCATCGTTCTTCTGAACGACATCATCAGCACAAACTTCGGGTAGAAGTGAAATGTTTGAATTTCTCTACATGTGGTTCATAGCTTGTCCTGTACACCTCGATGTTGATTGATTCTTGTTGACCCTAAATCTGTCATTGTCTACTTCTTTGTTTTGGTTGTATCTTTCATTGGTTTGATTTTTGTTCCTATGTTTGTGCATAATTTTTCTGATTAGTAGTATAATTGAATTAAGGGAGATAATAGTATCATTTTTTGACTTATTGGGATTTCACTTAGCACGTCTAAATGGAATAACATAAGATGTATCCCAAAAGTAAACCACCTGCTTTAAAGTTATTTCAAACATATAAGAACTTTCGTCTAAATTAGAACGAATAGTTTCACAGTATTTGAGCGCTGAGTTGATGTAAGACATTAAATAGGAATAATATGTTTGTAAAATCTCAGCGAATGAATTTGAAGTAAATCCAACGCTTCGCCTGGCAATCTGGTCCTTGGAAAAGCTATTTAATGTCTTATTTCAAACATTTTCATCATTTCTTCTCGAATCGTCTTATTTATCCTCAATTCTTTTCTTATGCCTTTATTTACTGTTACCTTGGGATTTATCATGATAATTTAATTGTAATGTTCTGATATGATATGGCAATCGGTACCATTGTATATATGTACTAAGTTCAATGTTGCTTATTGAATGATGGGCGTGTGATCTCAGTATATATTAGTATCTACTAAATTAACCTCATTTTATATCACAACTTATTTTAAAATCTGTCGATATAACCATAACTACTTTTGTTCTTTTCGCTGCCTTGAATTTCACTCAACTAACTGTCAATATTACTAAGACTTAAAAATGACAGCTTTGATTATTTCTTTTCAACTAATACAATATCATGAGTCAATTGAAGTTAGACCACCATGGAAAATCTGAAAGCACTGGACGACCGTTTCATCCTATTGTGGGACTCCTCAGCAATGCGTTGGAAATATAATCCTAGGAAATTTTGTTCATCTATAAAAAAAGAAAATGTTAAACTATTTAACTCTCATTCTGTCTTCTGGAAGAAATAAATATTAATTTTTTCTTAGTACGGCCATCCAATGCTTCCAAGTTTTCTATGGTGATCTAGCTTCATTTGACTCATGATCTCAACTATTAAAATTACTATAATATCCACAAAACCCCTTCTGATAATATCTTAATTTATTTCATTGTTCAGATATGTTCTCTAATGTCAAATAAATTTAAATACTCAATTTAATTTAATTTTGATAGACAAGCTAATAAACGTGAAGAAAATGTGTTTACTAGAACTTTGATTTGATGTTTCTGGTTAGAGTCTGTTTGGGACTAAGTACATAATAGAGGGAGTTAGACTCTGATATATATATATGTATATGCCCCAAATGCGCTGGTACGGCCAAGAGTGGGGAGAGTCCACTCTCCCTCTCCAAATGCTCTCACATGGCAACGCGAATATATAGCCTCTACCAGGGAAGTCCTACTCACTGCCTTCTCACAGTGGCATTACTGTTGTTTACGAAATTGAGAGGACGAAAAACGAATGTTCATGGCTTTAACCGGGTTAGTGGACACGAAAAGTTCACCTAGGGGAGTTGGAAAACCCTGGTCGCACATGGGCTCCAATATCCTGAGGGAACAAATGGCGTATGAATCAATTGTTGGTCACTGACTAACATAGGACTGCATTTCCTCACGATTCTGCACTGCCTTGTGGATCAGACCTTTAGGTCAAAGACTCCGGGCGCGGACGCCTAAGAAAACCACCTGCTTCAGTTTGGTCACTTCAGCAGTATCACAGCCCTCATACAAATCAAATGAAATTTGTGTGGCGCATGTATATCTGGTGCTTCCTTGTACCAATATTTATGTGTTTAAATAAATAATATATATGTTCTAACAGGCTCGTAGTCAACATCCATTTGGGCACTAAAGGATTTCAATCAAATTTATACAATAAGTCATTTAGTTTAACAAATAATGTACTTGAAAAGATAGTAGTCTGTCATTTAATCAATTTTAAAAGTTAATTGCAATCATTTATCATAACCAATGTATTCAACTATATTTGAACAATTACTTTTTCTATTAGTATACTTCATAACATACTAAGTTATACGTCAGTTTATTAGAATTTTTTTATGTTTAATTCTATATCTGACATTTAAATGATAAGCACACTTACGAACAGAGAATCTGGGATTATTTGAACTATCTTTGATCATTATTTTTTTCAATAAATAACATTGAAAAACTTCAGTTTACTTTGTCTCTTGAATACGTTTAGGATTTATAGATTTCAGAAGATCTGAAACAGTAATTATCTGTGTTGTATCCGGAAGAGAATGGTAACTTTTGAGAACCATTTGTGGACCAGTATTATACATATATATTTTTTATTGTATAATAGCTATATAACCAAAGTATTCATATTCGTGTCCCCCTTATTATGAGCTGTAGTTTGAACTATAAACTATTGTTATATAATTTACCATCCCATGTCTATTATTCACTATTTCTCATATTTACAACCACATTTGGCTAAATCTTGTACATATAATCTTTCCTATTTTATGGTACAATGTGGTCAGTTTGATTGGTATATAAACTCAGTATGTTTGAAATACAATGATTTATACCCCAGAGGATGTTCTGGACTTAACTGGCTAGGCTAGGCAGAAGCAGGACGGATAATCACTCTAGATAGCTCGTACGATTTTCGTGTGTCACTTTTCCAATCGATAATTCACTGCCCTCTGATTGGTGGTCTTTCAAGTCATGCATTTAACAGGGCATCCACTCGGCCACAAGTTATAACAAACTATCTCTATCATCAAATTATATGTCAGGATTAATATTTTTACTAAGTACTTAGTACATTTCACAACTTGACTTGACTCAAACAAACAGTAAATTGGACGGATATTTTAATCTAGTAATATCCACTTGAAACCTCATCAGAAACTTAACTTTAAAACATCACCTAAATTTGTATCAATCAGATAAGTTGAGTAATTTATTTTTGTAGAATGCTATTCATAACACTTCATAATTCTCTATAAATTAAATGAATTTCAATTTCATTGAGAACATTGAAGAAAACAAAGAGATATTCTTTATGAGCAAATATAGATGATGACTAGCGGTGGAATCCAGGACGAGCGTTTCTTACGTCTTTTCTTACAAAGCTCGTTACTTAAGAGAATATCGAGGCAGTTCACACAGGATGCACATATGCCAATAAAAGACTGATCATTTGCGGCCCTCAACATCAATGGGAAGATTCAACCAAACAATACCAAGTGAATTTAAACTTCGCCCCATTGCACAAGCTAGTGACTATCAGGACTCAGTAGCTAAGTAGATAACATGATGGAGTTTGAAGCGAACATTATTGGATTTGAGTCCCATAGTGAACATCAACTCTGAGATGCATATACATCCAGCTGATTTATCTCAAATAGGATAAAGTGTATGTACTGGATTCCACTATTAGCCACTAACCATCTTTGCTTATAAAGTTTGTGGTTTAAAAAGAATATCTAGGCAGTCCTCACATGATTCACATATACCAATAAAAGACTAATCAATTCCAGTTCTCAATATCAATGATAAGATACAAGTAAACAATACCAAATAAATTTAAAGAGATATTCTTTTTTTATAATTATTTTTTAAACTATATTGCATAACTTCAGTCATTGTTTTTTGTTTCTTATCTACACCACCAACCAGTATAAGAAATTAATAGAAAATTGATTATTGAATGTACCTAACATCAAATTTTATTTATACACCTAAGATTATCTATAACATTAGTATAATGGTGAATAGTTAACAAGAGGTAATCTTCATATAATCCTTTTTATCATTATTATTATTTCTAATAATAATGCATACATTAAAGAATCATAATAATAATAATAATAATTTTAATTAGGTTATAATGCCTTAGGCAAATGAGTTCATCTATAAAACATAGTTCAATTAAATATTCATATAGATATTAAGGTTAATTAAGGTTGTTTTATTCAAATACAAAACATAAATCTCCCAAATTGGCAAATGATCCATTCATTGAATAGAATATATATGTAATAAAATAATTTTAAATGAATAATAATAATAATAATAAATTTACCTTCAATTCTTTTCATTGGTTTTGGTGTTGGTGGATTATTAATCTAAAAAAAAAAAAATTATTATTATTATTGAATATTTCAAAGTTGAAATCATGAGTCAATTGAAGCTAGACCACCATGGAAAACCTAGAAGCACTGGATGGCCGTTTCGTCCTATTGTGGGACTCCTCAGTGGCAGTGCGCATCCACGAAACCGCACTCGCAAGCGAGATTCGAACCCAGGACCTACCAGTTACGAGCCAGAGCCCTTAACCGATCAGTTGAAGTTAGACATTAACATCGTTGGATGCCAGCTCAGTGGTCTATCAGTTAAGGGCTTCGGCTCGAAACTGGTAGGTCCTGGGTTCGAATCTCTCTCGCGAGAGCGGGTTCGTGGATGCGCATTGCTGAGGTGTCCCATAATAGGACGAAACGGCCATCCAGTGCTTCCAGGTTTTCGATGGTGGTCTAGCTTCAATTGACTCATGATTTCAACTTTGAAAAATACTGAAATCTCCACAAATCCCCTTCTGATTATTATTGAATAAGTTAATAAATCAAAAGAATCAAATAAGAAATGTAATAGAATATTTAATAATATTTTCAGAAGAAGAAGAAGGTCACTTAATCCATTGAACATTGAATACTGGGAAACAGTTTTTACCCCTAGTGGAGGAGTATAGGCCGTACACCAGTTTTCTCTATCTAATCCTGTCATGAGCAATCCTTTCCAGTTCTTTCTAGTTAACATTCATCCTTTACATATTTGCTTTTATTTCACGGCGTAATGTGTTCTTTGGTCTTCCTCTTTTCTGCTTCCCTTCACCATTCCAACTTAAGGATTGCCTTGTAATGCATATTGTTGGTTTTCTTAATGTATGTCCTATTCACTTCTAAGATCTTTTCCTAATTTCCTCTTCAGCTAGAAGTTGGTTTGTCCTCTCTTATTAAACGCTGTTGCTGATAGTATCCGGTCAGTGAATGTTGAGTATTTTGAATAAACAACTGTTTATAAATACTTGTACCTTCTTGATGATGGATTTAATAGTTCTCCATGTTTCAGCTCCATACAGTAGGACTGTCTTGACGTTCGTATTGAAGATTCTCATTTTGAAATTAGTTGACAGTTGTTGGGAGTTCCATATGTTCTTCAATTGTAGAAATGCGGTCCTTGCTTTGCCAATCCTAGCCTTTACATCTGCATCAGATCCTCCTTGTTTATCAATGATACTTTTCATGTACGTTAATGTTTCTACATCTTCCAGAGTTTCTCCACCAAGTATGGCTGGGTTGGTGTTCTCCGCGTTGTATTTGTGAATCTTGCTTTTTCCTTTGTGTATGTTGAGGTCTATTAATACAAAGACTGCTGCTACATTTGTTGTCTTCATCTGTATTTGAACTTAAAGTATAGCTTTACCGAATTTACAATATTTTTCAAATATTTTCACTAGTAACATTGTCATAGTTTCATTCAAAGTTATAACGATAAGTAGTTTTATCTATAATCATTTCAGTCATTTGAAGATGGTGCCTACATTAAAATAGTTATTTAAGGTTTCCACCTGAAATTATTAAACTTTGCTGGAACTCAACACGTTAAAAGAACACTAATAGGGTTGTCTATATAACGACAGTTTCAAACTTGAGACTAAATTTCTCCATAAAATCAAGACAACAATTTCAATACTTTGCTTCAGGATAACTCATTTGTTATCATCAAAAGAAGTAAATAATACCAATAGTCGTATTATGAATCCAAAATTAAGGGAATATAACAGCAAGATTTTACCTGTAGATGCCTTCAACTAACCAGAGATAGAAATGAAAACAATAATATTCAAAAGGTTAGATTAAGAATTAATCTAAAACGGTATAAACACAGGATTCATAAGAAAATGCCGGTTAAAATATGATAGAAAGATGATCATTGATGTAATTTTTTTAATAACCATTACTATTACTACTTCGGTGTTCTGAGTTGACATTTATCTGCCTTTGAATGGTTACCGATGTGATATCCTTCAATAATACACTTTTAAACAACTATCAAGTTATTCGATATCCGTGTAATGTTAAATGCATTTTAAATAGCTTAATGATATAGTTTCTGACTTGAATTCATACATCTTACTAACATACTCAAGAAAATTCATAATCACAGTACATTCATTTCCATTCTTATTTACTCCAGTTCATATTTTCAATCAAACTTACAATACATCTTCGATGTTCGTGATCTACCATATCTAACAGTGGATAAGCAGCTTGTACATCCTCTAGTGTTACAACGTTCGTGAATCCAAGACTGTAAATTTGTAAGAGAAAAAAGAAAAAAGAAATTAGAATAAGCAAAGATAGGTGATGTCTACCAGTGGAATTTAGGATGAGCGTTTCGTCTTACTTGAGACTCGTCAGTCGCATGTACCTGCACTCGAAACCAGACCTGTTCACTTCGAACGCCATCGTGTGATCCACTCAGCTATTGAGTCCTAATAACCACTAGCTCGTGCAATATATAAATATTTTTAAAGAAACAATATTCTAGTCATTCGATTTTTTTGAAAAACGTTTCTTTGTTTACTTGTCACATATTTACTTGTTGTTAAATTTGAAAGGCTAAATATTTAAAACATTGACTTTAATAACGGTTTAGAGACTTCGGAATATCTAAGGTTCATGGGTCTTAACTTTAATCATTATACAGAATATCTGTAGCTATATTTTTAAAGGTAATTTATTTACAAATATCAAAGAGTATTATAATGATTAGGAGAGATTTTGAAAGTTAATGAACTTCCAGGAACACCATAAAACAATTATAAACTAGACTTAAGCTAAATTTTACCAAAATGTATCAAAGATACTGATTGGCTGAAAGTGATTAGGGGATTCTTTCAGCCTATTTTATTTCCTCATAGGCTTATTTAAACACGTGCAATATATATAAGTTTATAATAGATAGACAAAGTGTATATACATCTATATTCATATGCATACATCTTTTTTATTCTTGTTTCATTCTCGCCAACAGACTACAACCGAAGCCCCACAGTGAATCAAATCAAGGAATTTCACATTTCACTTGGCAAACACCATACAAATAAGTCACTGAATGGTATTAAGTCAATAACATTTTCCAATGTAATAATCGACTTTGAAATTTCATAAACTATTAGCGGGAAATAAGTCGGATTAAGGCACATTAGGTACATGATCGTGACAGCGTACGCTGATTGGCTAATTCTAAACAAATCAGCTCTGGCAAATTATTGGAGAAACATTTAGAAGCTTCTCATGAATATACTATAAATATATGAACGTTTTTCTAACGATGGATTGCTGTTCACCTACCCTTGTTATTTTGAATACAATTTCGTTCCTGTTCAACGTGTTCTGATTTTGGGGTCTTGTCGAATGTCATTGTACAAAAATACTAAGCAATATGAGTAGCTGGGTTGTCTATTATCAAAAGAATTATAACATAAACATTAGGCATTAAACATCCGTTTTAATACAGTTTTCTTACTGTAACCGGTCATAACAGAACTGTTGATTTTGCTTTAAATACATTAATTCAGTAATCTAATAATCCATACTAGTGACATCAATAAGAATACTAGAAAGGTGATCACTTCATAGTATCAACTAATACACACTAACCCTTAATTGAGTTACTTTATAAAAATAAATTCAATTCAAAAATACTTTTTGTTATATCCCCTGGTGAATTATGAATGGTAAATCTGAGGTCTATTATCGACCAATGTATTATGCCTATTTCTTATTGTACAATTATTACGTAACTAAACACTTGATATTCGTGTTTCTCTTATCATTAGCTTTATTTTGATCTTTGATTTATGATCATACGATTATTGAGTTATAATCAGTTTATTGATTACTTTGGTTTGTATAAAAACCCAGTATGCTTGTAAATAATTATTCATATTGCCGAGGCTGTTATTTGTGTTCTGGACTTAACTGGCTGGACTAGGCAGAGTAGCAGGGCCTGATACGCACTCAAGACTGCTCGTACGATTTCAAGTATCATTTGCGTCCGATCAATAAATTCGCTCCTTCTCCAATTGCACGTTCTTATAAATTACGGGCCCATACGATATAACACTTTTCATAACAGATTAACTCAAACTGTAAAATTTTGTGAAATGAAGTAATTCTGGACAGCTGTTAAATTTTAATTTTGGATTCCTCAACAGTACATACCTACAATTCCACATTGAATATAATTTAGTACCTTCATGATTCCATGGTAATTGAATCAAATTAGATCGATGAATCCGAATCATACAGCTCATATTTCTAAACCTAAGTTAGTTTACATCGTAGTGAGAAATCTTATAATATCATTGATGAGTATCTATCTAATTTCCAACATTACTGAATTTTATGTTTCATCAACTAGAAGTTAAAAAACTTATCTCTACGTTCATCATCTATGAGAACACAATCAATATTGACTTAAAAGGTCATTGAAATACCTAAATGATTAATATTCTACATAATTAATTAAACTTGTTACTACTTATATAGATGAATTCATGAATCAATTAAAGCTAGACCACTATGGAAAACCAAAAAACACTAAACGACCGTTTCTTCCTTTTGTGAAACTCCTCAGCAGTGCTTATTCATGATCCTGCCTCGTGAAATTCAAACCCAGAACCTAACAATCTTTTTACTACTTATTGAAAAACTTTCTGTTATAATGAAATTTTGTTTGTAAATAGAATGACTACTAATAAATATATAATCATTCTATCTATAACAGTTGAATTCAATTAATATTGGTATCAATTTCAAATGTCCAATAAATTTCTTATATTATAATATAAATTATTTATTCCTTGTCATTTAATTGAAACTAATTAAATTCAATTTTTTTTTAAAAAAATTATACCCTACATTTGAAAAATTAAAGTTACATTTTTATGCATGGTTACATGTATCCAATATTGATTTTAATATATTATATTGCATAACAATTATCTATTCGATAGAGAGAGAGAGGGAGGGAGAGGGAGAGAAAAAAATATATTTATATTATAAAAATTCAGTTTTACCTCACCAGTCACCCCCTCCTCGTCCTCGTCCCCCTCCTCCTCCTCCTCCTACTACTACTATTATTACATTGACAGCTCAAATCAATTTTATCATAGTTATTTATATGTTATAAATATTGTGATAAGTTCATAAATGATTCTATGTGAAATTTGAAATTGACTATTCAATATATATAGATATATATCGTATCATCTGTATATCATATGATAATTTACCATCTTCAATTACATAATTAGTTACTAGGTATCAATACCAAAGTTCAAATTGACAATTTCAAATAAACTGAGTTAATGATAAATATATTTTTGTTATATCCTAACAAGTTGAAAAATTGTATTTCTGATATTACATAACTTAATATAAACCTTTTTTTTCAAAGTAATGGCTTACATTAAGCCAACAAACATCAGAAATACAATTTTTTTCTATACATTAGGATATAAGGAAAAATATATATTTATTGTAGTTGTCAAGAAGGGGTTTTGTGGAGATTTTAGTAATTTTTTTATATAGATGAGATCATGAATCTATGGAAGCTAGATCACTATGGAAAAACTGGAAGCATTGGACGGTCGTTTCGTCCTACTATGGATCAGTTGAAGTTAGACATTAACACCGTTGGATGGCAGCTCAGTGGTCTATCGGTTAAGGGCTTCGGCTCGAAACTGGTAGGTCCTGGGTTCGAATCCCGCGAGAGTGGGTTCGTGGATGCGCACTGCTGAGAAGTCCCATAATAGGACGAAACGGATATCCAGTGCTTCCAGGTTTTCGATGGTGGTCTAGCTTCAATTGACTCATGATTTCAACTTTGAGTTCATAAGTGTTATTAGTTAAGAAGTTCCTAATTAGATTGGAACATTTATATTATTCTTTTTATAAATAGTCGAAATCATGAATCAATTGAAGCTAGACCACCATCGAAAACCTGGAAGCACTGGAGGGCCGTTTCGTCTTATTGCGAGACTCCTCAGCAGTGCATATTCACGATCCCGTCCTACGAGATTATTAATCATGATTATTATTTATCATCTAAATGTGTTAACTATTGAATCTTATACAGTCTACTATATACTTTAATGTTTCACTTTTCACATACAAGATAAAAATCTAACCAAATAACCTTTGTAGAGTGTTTTTTCATTATCATGGTCATCTATCTCATTTAACATGCAAACTACGGAGATTTATAATCAACCCATTGTTTTGAGTTACCGAATTAATCATTAATGCACTATTATTCACATGATCAACTAGTTTTAACTAACCAACTGTTCAAATTATGACTTTTTTAATCATTAATACTATGTATTTACATTAATGTAAACATATGTGCACAAGAATGTGCTAATTCTTTATTATGTTTACCTGGATACTAGTTCATGATGACAAAAAAATATTTTCTAACACATGGTACATTGGTAAACAAACCGTATACAAATAATTTGTTAAAAATCTATTAAATATATTAAAAACTTGTGATAATAAGCTATATGAAGGCTGTCTACTCGGGATTCACGTGTGACAGAAAAGATTGATTAGTTGAATTCCTTAATATTAACAAAAAAGTATAAGTCTTTACTGAAACCTTTATACTCATTGATTAAACAAGGGGCTATCTGGTGGACCTAATGATCCAATGGATAACATGGTACTTGAAAGCTACTCAATTCAAGTTTCAATGTTGACACAAACACTAAAATCCATGTATATCTAGGTGAAAAGTCCGTCTTAGATTCTACTGCAACCCACATATTAGATGTACTTAAAAACTCAACAAACTCTTTGTTTAAAAACTATTACATTTGAATATAGGTTAGTCCGATTTCTCAGTTAGTTACTCAGATCCTAGTCATGTTTATTGTGTATGAAGAATATAAATATAAAAGAGTCCCATAATAGGATGAAACGGCCGTCCAGTATTTCTAGGTTTTCGATGGTGGTCTAGCTTCAATTGACTCATGATTTCAACTTTTAAAACAAAGTACGTTAATAGAATATTGAAATAAAGACCGGTTCATCAAGTATTGAATGCTTAAATCATTAAACTATTGTTTTACCTCGGTATAAATGACATAATTTTATCGTTGAACAATCGAATTTTTCCCTTAAATACATACTGAAAGGCAGATGATATTCAATACCAATTATTCTAATCTACAGTCAGTCTTGATAGGTTAACCATAATAATTTAAATGACAATTGACTATATTGTTTCTTAGAAAAAATGTATATAGATACAAACTTCGATTTGTTATGTAATATATAACTTGGATAAATTTAATAGTTATTTACAGTTCATTAATTCCGACTAGAATGGCCAATTATTTTTTATTCTTGATCACAAATTATTTACTAAAAATAGTTTCAACTCCGCCTTGAGCACTTCTGGAGCTACCGCCAATCCCAAGCCAGGATATCGGAGAAGTGTTGGGCATGGGGTTAGCGACTACATCCCGTAGAAAATCGACTCGCTAAAAAAAACGCTAATCAGAAAAAATGGTTTCACTAATAAGATGAAGTTCTACCAATTCTAGGTCATATGTTTACTGTTTTTTTTATATTAATTAGATATGAATTAGAATTGATTGATCACTGGGTGGTGATCAATGTCATGCATGTCAAGTCCTTCTTAGTGCTGATCGAATGCTATCGACCAAGTTGCAATGTGGCCACCAGTCTAGGTGGCTCGACACTGCGTGTACTATATATATTGGGATAAGATAGTGGTTGGAGGTGGTCAACTTTTATTCGTAACCATAAAAAATTGTGGAAATTTCCGGTAACTTACATTTATTTTTCATTGTATATGAATAAAAATCTCATATTTTTACCGTGTGGACTTAATATACAATAAATATTTTGCGATAGGAATATCCTCAATGGATAGTTATGCACTTTTTTTAAGTAAAGATAGTTAGTGGCTAACAGATGAAACCAGAACTAGCATTTTATCCTGTTTAGGACTCCAGAAAGATATACTTGTAACCTTGTAGGATTCGAACCAGATATCTTTCATTTTAAACGTCTAAAGTATTATCAGTTGAGCTACGGAGTCCAGACAGCCATTAGCTTGTACAACGGTGATGAACCTTATTAGCACATTCAGATGATGAGTCCCAACTAAAACTAAATGTGTGTCTTGAATTCTACTGCTAGTCGCTAACCATCTCTACTCAATTACTTGTGACTTGCCATAATACTGAAGTAATTCACTTTGGACTTACTTATGCCAGAAGAGACTAACCAATATTCATTTTTAACACCAACAAAGAGAAAATCCTAACACTTACAAATAAATAATAAATTATGCCTGTAATTAGCTACTCACAACTGTTCACTTGTTTTGTGGACTCGGACATATATATTATTCACTTGTATGAAAACGAATAAATAAGGCTTTATTCAAATAATTTAATCAAGTTTAGTTGTGTACAGTTCATAACTGAATGTACAAATGAACCAGTTACAGACCATTGGTCTCAAACTAAACATTTAAAAAATTTAGGTAAATTATCATTACTATTATCAGAACAGAAAGCTTACAAGGATTCCTCAGAATGAAAATAGTTGACATTACAAACTGATTATAGTCAGTTGCTTATTGGAAGTTAGAAATAAATGTCTAGCTGCTTCATTCAAACAGAATACATCTTGACAACATGGCTATTCAAGATGTTATGACAAGCGCATCGCCTTTAAACTAATTGTTTGACAGTTAATAATTGAAAACTAGGGTGCTGGCTCACTGGTCTAGGGGTTGAGTGTTCGTACACGAAGCCGAAGGTCTCGGGTTCGAATCCCGTGTGTGGGATCTCGGGTGCGCACCGTTGGAGAGTCCCATACTAGGACGAAACGACCGTCCGTTTCTCCCAGGTTTTCAATGGTAGCCTAAATTTGACCGATTCATGAACTCAATCAATAAATTAAGATATTGTTTTCCTGTCAACTAAGACAAGCATCGAACATTTTGGTTAAATTGTCGTGTTATCTGAGTAAGAGCCACATAAGTAATAATAATTTCAATGTCCAGTTTTGACAAGAAATTCAGACATTATTAGGACAATTACCATTGTGAAATTTCCTAAAATCATTTGAAGAAAGTTTTAATTATTATTTAAGTACAATGAATTTAAGGAATTTATCGATAGTATATTCTCAATGGAACATTTTAAACACTGAACCACGTCTAAATATATGTTCAGCTTGCTGTGAAACCATTATAAAGACACAGTAATGTTATCTTCGATAAAACAAACAGTGGAATAAGGCTGTGATTGATACTCCCTAAAAAGTTACTCAAAAAAATAAACTACTGCGTACTGTTCTCAAGAAGTTATTTCTAATAACTTATATTTTGCTTTTAATCTTAATACACTCATAAGTAGTATATATATATGCGAATAAAATAATTAACATAACAAACAGTTAATTCTTACTCATTGGCCAATTTAATAATATTCCCTTGTCCAATGAACAATACACATTTATCATGATATTCTTTGTAAACTGACAATGGACTAGGCGCTAGAATAACTTGATCTGGATGTATCTAAGTAAAAAAAAATGAATTAATAAAGTTAATGCGAATGATTAGTTAATGAATTGCTATTAGAATTCATTCATATATAATTAATCTGTATAACAAAAAAATGTTAATATACACATAGTTCACCATGTTGTTGATCATTTATTGGAATCTACTAGCCAATCTGTGAATGGATATTCTAGGAGATCATATTGCTTACTTATTTACTTACTTACTTACGCCTGTTACCCCTCGTGGAGAAGCATAGGTCGTACACCAGCGTTCTCCATCCAACCCTGTCCTGGGCAATACTTTCCAGTTCTTTCCAGTTAACATTCATCCTTTTCATATCTGCTTTTATTTCACGGTGTAATGTGTTCTTTGGCCTTCCTCTTTTCTGCTTCCCTTCCGGATTCCAAGTTAGAGCTTGCCTTGTAATGCACATTGGTGATTTTCTTAATGTATTTCCTATCCACTTCCAACGTCTTTTCCTAATTTCCTCTTCAACTGGAAGCTGGTTTGTTCTCTCCCATAAAACGCTGTTGCTGATAGTATCCGGTCAGTGAATGAAGATCATATTGCATTATATATTAAATTGAGCAAATTGATTATCTTTCATTCTTATTCAATGTTATTGTTAACTAACATATTAGTATTTAGAATATAAATAATATATGAAGTATTGAATTGTTGATATATACTGATAAGAAGTTCTGATATGTTTTATACTCATTCTCAATCAATTATTTTTTGTTTCGAATCATTTTATCTTTGGAACTCTATCAGTATACAAGTATACATATCTTAATAGTTGAATCTATGAGTCGATATAAGCTAGAGGACCACTGAAAGCTTGGATGCGCTCGAAGGTCGTTTCGTCCTACCATGAGACTTCTCAGACGTGCGAATCCACGATATCGCACGTAGGACTCAAACCTAGAACTACTTGTCTTGTGCATGAACGCTTAACCCCTAGACCACTGAGCCGGAATCCAACGGCGTTAATATCTAATTTTAATCGACCCATAATCTTGTAAAACCCTTCGTCCATTATCTGAGGTGGATAACTGTTTTCACTCGATAAGGATTGAACTCCACTGATTATACCTTCTCACTATAACTTCAGGAAATCCATCTTGAAGCTAGTCACTAGTGAGCATATGATTATCACTGATGTTCTAGCTTAGATTGACTCGTAAATTCGACCATTAAATTTAAAAACGTATTAACATTAACCACAATATGAAGCAGAAAAAGAGATAATAAATTAGCAAAACTAGATATTTGACACATATCAATCCTCTAGTTATGCTATACGGAAAACATTTGACGGTGATGCCGATGACATAGCCATTTTAAAAATATTTTCTTGAGTAACTTAAAAGGTGATCTATGCAAATTAAGTGTACTTCATTTGAGGTAATGAAACCTATATAATTATAGTTATCTTATTAACGTTACTAACTGTTCAACTTTCCATATACTGTAAAACTCTGGCTGACGTTTCACGTATCTGTGTTTGAATAGGTTTCTTTCTAAATGTTTTTTCCATCGCTATAAATGTTTTTATAGAAAAATTCTATTAGCTTCTCAGATTTCTATCCAATAATTTGTTGAAAAGTTAGTTATGATAAGTGTACTAGTTGTAATAAGAATGATAAAGACTTGAATCCATAAGTAAAGATGGGTTCGAGTCCCGAAGTGAACATCTATTCTGGGATGCAGGCACATACAGCTGACGAAACGCGCGTCCTGAATTCCACTACTAGTCACTATCTATCTTTGCTTATAATACTTGTGACTTAAGGCAATATCGAGGCAGTCTGTACAGGATGTACATATACCAACAAGAGACTGATCAATCGCAGTCAGATTTCTCTCCAATAATTTGTTGAAAAGTTAGTGAAACGACGTTTTTAAACAATAATATACCAAAGATGTGAATAAATGTTCGATGAAGTTTAGATGTTCTACATCACTAGCTCCCCTGTTATTTAGTCTATCACTAGTAAAAGAATTAATTTTGGGTTTCACAATGAACTAACAATACTGGAACAAAGACTCACTGATTTTTATATTATTCATAATTTTCATAATAATAAATTAGCTTTGGATATGTTTCACTTTGATGACAGAAAAAAAAACGATTCTTTCTAACTATTTAAAACATTTCAAGTATTATATAAAATTTTTGTAGGCTTGTTTGGGTACTGTTATATGAATCTCCTCTACTTCTGTATTCTCATCAATAAACCTAATTGTCTTTTTCTCCACTGGCTTGATCCTCCGGTGTAATTATGTCATAATAACAATATGACTAGATAAATATACTTGATCCCTTACAAGGATCGAAACGAGGACCGTCAGATCAAGTTTTCATTAACATTTGACCACTGACCTAAGATCCAATATTTCACATTTGTTGATCAAATAAATTCACAATATAGTATAAATATCATTTCGTAATAGGTTTAGGCTCTAAGTAATAATATAAGTTTACACTTCTGACAGATCTATTGTTGAAATGTAAAAAATGTTCAGTTCATCTTGATTTTCAATAACTTCTGTTATATCTTGTGGCCGAGTGGATGCCCTGTTAACGTATGACGTGATAAGACCGCCAATCAGAGAGCAGCGAATTGGAAGAGTGATAAACGAAAATCGTACGAGCAGTGTAGAGTACTTATCGGTCCTGCTTCTGCCTAGCCTAGCCAGTTAAGTCCAGAACAGCCTCTGAGGTATGAACCATTGTATTTCAAGCATACCGAGTTTGTATACCAATCAAACTGACCACATTGTACCATAAAATAGAAAATAACATGTGAATAAAATTTATCCAAATGTTGCTGTGAATAGATGAGATACTAAATTATAGACACGGCATAACTCAGGAATACTTTATTTATATAGCGATTATACGATAAAAATATATGCATAATACTGGTCCACAAATGGATCCCAAATTTACCATTGACTATTGTTATCGGGACATAACAATTTCATTACTAAAATCAACCTGTAACATGAATTGACTTCTTAATATTACTATTACTATTATTATTATTATTACATTTGTATTTTCTTATTATTAGACTAAACTAAGTTGACCTTTATTAATTAGTCAAAATTAATATAAACTTGTCATTGAATAATTCAATTTAATACCCAATTAATAAACTTAACCATCTATTTGATTGATTAAATGTAGCGTATTTAATAAGGTAAAACACTATTCAATGTTTATCAACTACATATACATATATACATAGTTATTATCTAAGAATCAAAGTTCAATGTATTTTTCAATGAATTTATAATAAATTATAAATGACATTAAGATAATTATTTATCTTCGTAGTTGAAATCATGAGTCAATTGAAGCTAGACCACCATCGAAAACCTAGAAATACTGGACGGCCGTTTCATTCTATTATGGGACTCTTTTATATTTATATTCTTCATACACAATAAACATGACTAGGATCTGAGTAACTAACTGAGAAATCGGACTAACCTATATTCAAATGTAATAGTTTGTAAACAAAGAGTTTGTTGAGTTTTTAAGTACATCTAATATGTGGGTTGCAGTAGAATCTAAGACGGACTTTTCACCTAGATATACATGGATTTTAGTGTTTGTGTCAACATTGAAACTTGAATTGAGTAGCTTTCAAATACCACGTTATCCATTGGATCATTAGGTCCACCAGATAGCCCCTTAATTAATCAATGAGTATAAAGGTTTCAGTAAGGACTTCAAGATACATGTCCTGGAGTTCTAGTGAGAAGCAGTGACCAGTGGAGTTCAAAACCACGTCTGTTGTGAGATAGAAACTCACTGAAGACAATTGGTGAATGGTTGCTCAACTTCGTGGATCAGTTGAAGTTAGACATTAACACCGTTGGATGCTAGCTCAGTGGCCTATCGGTTAAGGGCTTCGGCTTGAGACTGGTGGGCCCTGGGTTCGAATCTCGCGAGAGCGGGTTCGTGGATGCGCATTGCTGAGGAGTCCCATAATAGGACGAAACGGCCGTCCAGTGTTTCCAGGTTTTCGATGGTGGTCTAGCTTCAATTGACTCATGATTTCAACTTTGAAAAATACTGAAATCTCCACAAATCCCCTTCTGATTATAAATTGAATTGTTTTATATTATCTTATTAAAATAGATTAGTAAGAAACAGTTACAAATATTAACTCAATAACATTAGACTGATTAGATCCTCATCAGGCTTCATTTTAATATATAATAATATTTATATGCATATGTGAAATTAATAAACTAATCAAGGTGGTATAATGATTCAGAGTGATGTTAGTGGAATGGATTACATAAATAAACATAATGAGTAAAGAGTATAATCATTGTTAAAATCAAGAGTGAATTGGAGCTAGACCACTATGGAAAACATGAATGCAATGAATGGCTGTTTCGTTTTATTGTGAGACTCATCAGCAGTGCACATTCACAGTCTTGTTTGGTAGGTCCTATGTTCGAATTTCAAGAGGCAGAATCGTGGATGCACATTGCTGAGGAGTCCCACAATAAAATAAAACGGCCGTCCAGTGCTTCCAGGTTTTCCATAGTGATCTAGTTTTAATTGACTCATGATCTCAACTATTAAAATTATATATTTTAAGAAAACGTTCACATTAAAGGATACTAATAAAATGCTTTTACATAAATATTGATGATGTACACAACTATTGTTTGATTTTAAATAAATAATGTCATATTGTAATAATGTTAAATACTTGAATTTTTTAGGGATTATTGTACTTAAAAGAAACTGATTACCATTCTATTATAACAACTTACTGGTTAACATTATATCCAGAACAACAAATTAAAGTTAAATTACTACTTCAAAACATTCATTTTCAATGTGATGTTTCTTAATGAGTGATAGCTAAACTTTTGTTAAAACAATGTCAATGAAAAAAATTTAAATGCAATTAATAAGTGGTTAAACCTTACAATTGATTGATCACTGGGTGGTGATCAATCTCATGCGTGTCAGGTCCTTAGTGCTGATCGAATGCTATCGATCAAGTTGCAATGTGGCTACCAGTCTAGGTGGCTCGACACTGCGGGCACTATATATATTAGGGTAACATGGTGGTTGGAGGTGGTCAACAGGAAACCCTGGACCCGGGTTTCGTGCTACTTGGCACTCGTCAGCAAGGTGTACCTGTAATCTTGAGGGAACTGATGCTCCCTGGCGGATTCGATCCCGCGTCACTCAGCTTCACAGTCAGAGACGTTACCACTGAGCTATTCGGGCCGCGACCGACCTCCTGTAGGACTGAGATCTAATCACAATTGATTGATCACTGGGTGGTGATCAATCTCATGCGTGTCAGGTCCTTAGTGCTGATCGAATGCTATCGATCAAGTTGCAATGTGGTTAAACCTTAGCTCTCTTTATCTAAGGATAGCTTAATGATATACAACCTAAAGTTCTAGAACTGATAGCTCAACTTTTATACAACTAAATGAACTCATTTGACTTTCAAACTTTAATGGAAAATATGATAACTTTTATAGATTCACTCAGTTCTTAATATCATTCGGTGTTCTTTAAATGGAATAGTTATATATTTATCTTCACTCTCAAATGGATCATTATTCAAAAGCATCATGTAAATAAGTGTCTATTATTACTATTACAAAACTCTATATATACTACTCTATAGCTGTGAAGCATAATCTGTGAAAGTAGAAGACATGTATAAGCTTCAGATATTTTATTCTTGGTACCTTTGAAACATTGCTTACATGTCATGGAACGATGGAGTTAGAGATTTCTAGGTTTGTAATAAGTTACTAAGACAATATGACAAATAAGTTGATAAGATAGTCAAACTGTGACTTTGTTAAATAATATTTGGTAGCAATTGCAGCCCAAATGTCTTTTGAAGTTCCAATGACTTATTGAGAAACAAGGTAATGACTTGGGGGGATTGAGTCGACTCGTACATTATCAGTGTATTTCCATTCTTATTACCGTTAAACTCCGCTCATTTTTATAGATTAGTTCATAAAAATATAGAATGATTTATTTTTCTCAACAATTATTGGACCATAATTTTAAAATTTTACGAGAGCACTTATCCAGACTAATACTAGAGTAATATTACTGGTAACGGTATCAGTAATAATATTAAAGTCTAATTATGGCGATGTAATTCACGAAGAGGTAATTTATGCAATAAAAAAATATAAGATAATTTTAAAAAAGAAAGACCTAAGGGAAAACAAAATGTGATTGCCTCTGTTCTAATGCGACTGGTTCTCAGACTTATCAATAAACACTTTGAACAATTGGTTAAGATAATCATATGAAACTCAATCAGGTAGACTGGACCTAGCAACACAGCTCAACCCACCTGTCAGTGATTTGATCAACCAGTGCTAGGTATCGATTTGTCCACTCTTAGCTTTAATCATTCAAAGCCAACTGCGCATAAATTAAGTATAAACATGAACTTAACTGATCTTAATTCATCTGGTCTAACCAAGATAAAAGACGTTTGTATAAAGTATTTTCAAGATCACATATTTACTGTATGAAGTCAAATGAATACTTGCTATATTCTTTGGTTGGAGAAATCTAGCTAAATAAAATTTATCAAGATTTTTTATCTAAACCAATTAAATACAAATATTGAAAAAAAACCGCAACCAATTACCATGGTATTAACTCCGTCTCTAACTAAAAACAGCACAGCCTAAGGAGATTCGCGGAGATTGCAGAATTTACAAAGTTTACATCACTGACTGATCTCATCTAGACCACCCTTAAAAACCTGAGAGCACTGGGCGGCGTTCCATCTCAGTATTAAACTCCCCAATATTGCTCGTCAACTACTCCGCATCCGGGAATTGAACCAAGTACCTTTGGTCCCCCTTGTGAACACTTAATCTCTAAACCCCTAATAAAGCTATAAATGGTTCTTTACAATAATCATACTTTATGAAGCACTGTTCATGTATATCTTTTTTGAAAAAAAACTATCACCATGACTTACATTTATACCGAACCATTTAGAAACCATTTGTACTTTTGTTGTAGCATCTCCAGATCCATTAGTTACTAAAGCAACTGGAACACGTAATTCTTTTTTATCAGGACCACATAATAATTTAAATGCTTCAGCCGCTTGAGGCAAAACTTCTAATCCACGACCAAGTACTCCGTCAATATCGAATAATAAACCGAAGTTTGGCTGTTAAATTATAAAAGTCAATTGTAAAGTATCATAAAGTTGATAGATAAATAAATAAATAATACTCTAGCAATATAGTATTTAAGCCATTACATTAGAATCATCGAAATGTCCAAGTACAATTTTGTAATATGTCTATCAGAAAGGTAAAATATGTGCCATGATATTGACAAAAATATCTCTATTGACAGTTATTTCTACAGCTAAATTCAAGAGTCGATTTCAGCTAGACCGCTATTGAAAACATGAAAGTACTGGATGGCCATTTCGTCCTAGTACTGAACTCCTCAACAGTGCACATCCACGATCCGTCATTCTGATAACAGTAATAATAATACCACATTTATAGTTAGTGATTTATTAGTCTAAATGATTTTCGGTCTGTAAGGTAAGTATATTGAAAACCTAGTTACAGTACTTAGCTATACAGGATATTTGATAAGCAAATGTGTTTTTGGAAAAACTGTACGTAGAAAGACTGGATTCCTGCTAATGTAACCTGATTATTTATTGTACTTTTTGAGTAGAACTTGACAGATCCACAGTCATTTTAGTACGGTACTTACCTTATTTGATATTTGTGGTAATATGAAATCGTTCACCAACATTTGTATGATTACGTCAGACAGTAATGTCAATACACTTATGAGAAAAACATTTAGGGATTATTATTTCATTTGAAATTACAACAATTGGTTATGATTGGAAGATAGTGTAAAAAATGGCGTCCAATTAAGCTACAAATTCAACATTTTGAAATGAGTCCTTCTATTCGTTTTTTTTATAGAATGACAAGGAACTACTTAAAAGTACTCTATTTTTAAAGAAATTGATAAAACTACAATCCGTAAACTCACCTCTTGATGACTATCCGAGTCTTCAGAACAATCTGCTGAATCATTATGATTCTCATATGTAAATATCTCCGCTTTTCCTTTATTCTCTATTTCTGTCATCATAAGTTTTCTTGAAGATTCACTTGCGTTCTTTGTTTTTTTGACAATTTCTGATTAACCTTCAATATTCTAAAGAAAGAATAAAAAACACTTTCTTATTTAATTTCGAATAAGTCAACAAAAGTATGTACTACTATACAAAAGTATAAGAACTCTCGTCTAAATTAGAGCGAATAGTTTCACAGTATTTGAGCGCCGAGTTGATGTAAGACATTAAATAGGAATAATATATTTGTAAAATCTCAGCGAATGAATTTGTAGTAAATTCAACGTTTCGCCTGACAATCTGGTCCAAGCTTTTTCAAGGAATTAACTATACAAAAGGTTTGTGGAAACTGTCGAATTCGTATAGTTGACATCAATAACTAATCTTATTTGAATAATCCTTGTTTCACTAAAATCAATTCATGATGTTAACTATATAGATATTTATATACTAACGAAAAGTTTATACTGAAATGACAATAGAATGTTTTTGAAGATAATTTCCATCAAGTAGAGTTACCATTACTAGAGTCGGTCAACTGTCCCAGAATTTACTTTGTAATACTTTGATATTAACAGTCAGTATGTAAAATAAACGATGAGTAAACTTTAAATATAACACTTATATGATTTTGAGATGGTGGACAAAATTTATAGCTTAGATGAATGATTTTGCTGGAGTTTTGTTCTCTAAGCTGGATAGTTTGGTCATGGAGCTTTCATCGTTCTTCTGAATAATATCATCAGCACAAATTTCAGGACTTCTACCTGGAAGCTACATGACCAAACCACCCAGCTCATAGAACAAAACTCTAGCAACATCTAACACTTATTACCATCATTAAAAACAAAAAAATATTTATAAATTATCATAAAACGTACAATCACTAATGTTAATTACGTCACAGAAAGTAACTTCTTAGAAAATTATTCATTTATATAAATATAATCCCTTATTATTAATAATCTATTTTTAATACATCATATATGATATTACTATTGGTCATTATTTTTAAGCATAGGTCACTTAACACAATGTGGACACATACATATATATGTAGATGACTTTAAGGATTCAACTGTTCACTTCAGCTATTCACTTGTTAATGTTCAATCTGTTTATAATGTTGTAAATTCTCTCTATTTATCTATCTATCTCTCTTTATATGCTAATGATCATGTGTTAATCAAATTAAAACTGTATGGTTAAATTAAAACATGTATGGATATGTGTTTGTTTATTTCTTTTAAACAATATTGTTGACAAACAATTATGACCGATTAATTAGTGTAAAGAAATATAAATTTTTTATATAGTTGAGATCATGAGTCAATTGAAGCTAGACCACCACGGAAAATCTGGAAGCACTGGACGACTGTTTCGTCCTATTATGGGATACCTCAGCAGTGCGCATCCATGATCCCGCCTCGTGATCCCACAATAGGACGAAATGGCCGTCCAATGCTTCCAGGTTTTCCTTGGTGTTCTAGCTTTAAATGACTCATGATTTCAACTACATAAAATTACTAAAATCTCCACAAAACCCCCCTTCAAATAAACATTTGTTAATTATTTATTAGGCAGTATAGTATAATATTTTAACTGTAGTTTTACAAGACATTTGAAGAAATTCATGATCATCGAAGTATGTATGTCATTTATTATTTCCGTTGCACTTCTCTAACTGTATAAATAAGATTATATGAACAACTTTTCATTGTGTTTAATGTTACTTTGTGTCTATAACTTCTTACTGCATAGAAAAAAGTTAGTTATCTGTATACTCAGCTCATAATCACTCCGAGCACTTAACCGATAGACCACTGAGTCGGCATCTCCACGAAACCCCCTTCTGATAATGATCATATACTCACTAGTAACTGTCTCCATGAGGTCATTTCTGGAGTTCTAGTGAGACGTCGTGACCAGTGGAACTAATCCATATCAGGTAGAGACAGGTATCTACCTCAGTACAATGGAAGTTGGTCGCGCAATTTCGTGGATTGGTTGAGGTTAGACACTAACACCGTTGGATGCCGGTTCAGTGGTCTATCGGTTAAGTGTTCTGGCGCGAGACTGGTAGGTCCTGGGTTCGAATCTCGTGAGGTGGGATCGTGGATGCACGTTGCTGATGTGTCCCATAATAGGACGAAACGGCCTTCCAGTGCTTCTAGTGTTTTCATGGTGGTCTAGCTTCAAATGACTCATGATCTCAACTGTATAAAATTACTAAAATCTCCACAATACCCCCTTCTGACAAATTTTTTACACGTACTTCATTAAACATTATATAAGAACAATAACTTTTTTTATTTATGGTAAACGGAATATACCCAATTAAGATATTAAATAAGGAAGATTGGTTCGGTAAAGAGTTCTTTTTTCGGATTTTGGATATGTGTTCATGTTAACACACTCATTAAGAAAGAAAACATTCGCATTTACTTTAGCAAGTTTGATAGAATAACACAGAAACCCATTAAGTTCCTTCACTGTTGAAGGGTCATTGGAAATTTTTTTTGGTAAGCGGAATACACCCATTACGATATTAAATAAGAAAGATTGGTTATTCTTTCAAACTTGCTGAAGTGAATGCTAATATTATCTTTCTTAAAGATTATCTTAACATGCACAAATATCCAAAATTTGAAAAGAGAACTCTTCGTTGTACCAATCTTTTTTATTTGATTGTCATTTTCATCATAATGCTTGTGAATTAAGGCTATATCGAGGTAATACGAACAGTATGCACATATGCCAATAAGAGACTGACCAGTTGCAGTCCTAAACATCAATGGGAAGATTCAAACGAATAATACCAAATGAATGTCATTTTCATTCTTTACAAGAAAAAAAGTCCTATAGTTCCAATGAAAAAAAGATTAAACAATAGTATGAATGTGTATTCTTTATCAAGACAGCTTCAAAAAAAAGCCAACAAATTTGATCTTTCGATCATTCTTTTGTTTTAATACACTCTATACATGACTTTTTCACAATTACCAGACTACTTAAACACCTGAACCATTTCACTTCATCTGTACAAATAGTGTAATATATATTTTTTATTTTAAATATATATTCATTGACAAACTATGTATTGTAAGCAGATAATTTAATATCCATCAAACTCTCTAAATCCCTTGGTTATCTTATTTTCATTTATATTAATGCCATTTAATTTCATTGTTTGATTACATGTTGCCGTAAAATAATTAGAATTTGACTTAGTTGTCAAGTACAAGTTTATATATTCATATTTAAGTCATTTTCTTTAAGGTTGATCTAGTGTTACTATCAAGCTTTTTTAAAATTAATTAGGAAACGGTTCCACTGCTAGCCACTGTCCATCTTTGCTTATAATGCATGTGAATTAAGGCTATATCGAGGCAATACGAACAGTATGCACATATGCCAATAAGAGACTGACCAGTTGCAGTCCTAAACATCAATGGGAAGATTCAAACAAATAACACTAAGTGAATTTATACTGTCTAATAGTTGAAAGTTTATAGTAAACTCATTTATTTTAAAACTCAAACAAAGATATTTACATATTCACTTGGTGTTGTATACTTGTATCTCCATTTTTATTTAGGATTGCAATTGACCAGTCTTTTGTTGGCATATGTGCATCCTGTGAGGACTGCCTGGATATTCTTTTAAACCCCAAGCTTTATAAGCAGAGATGGATAGTGGCTAGTAGTGGAATTCAGGACGCATGTTTCGTCCTATTGGAGACTCGTCAGCTGGATTTATGTGTATCTCAGATTTGATGTTCACTTCAAGACTTGAACCCGGTACTGTTCGCTTCAAACGCCATCGCCTTATCCACTTAGCTACTGAGTCCTGAGTGAACATCAACTCTGAGATTCAGGTACATACAGCTGACAAGTCCCAAATAGGACGAAACGTGCGTCCTGGATTCCACTGCTAGCCACTAACCATCTTCGCTTATAAAGATATTAAAATAGTTTATTTGTTTATCATCTTACAAAAATAAGACCCAAATATATTTACAGTTATCCAGAAACAGTAAATTACTAGTACTTTATAACAGCTTGATTTGTTAAACTTATTTCTCATAACTGATGACTACCTTCAGAGTACTGATTAATAATACATTGAGAAACCGTGATAAACAAAACCAAATACTTTCAAACAACAAAGTATTCTAACTACAAATGAATCGAGTGAATAATTTCACTAAATTTTCGTAAAAGTAAAAATGATATGATCACTATGCAACTTAGCTGCTTACAATTTAATTTTAAGAGGAAGATTAAGGTCAAAGTGAAAAGATATTTTAAAATTTCTTGACGTTATATGTTATTCTACAAATAATTTGTTATGTACTACAAATGTTCAGTCCATGTTTGAAGGTGAATATTTTCGACAAGTTGATGGTATTGTTATGGGTAGCCCCTAGGGTCACTCTTAGCTGATGTATTTACGTCATATGTTGAAAATAAAACAAGAGTGCTCATCAGCGAGGCAACTTTGCATAGGAGATACATGGATAATATATTAGTTATGTGTGATAAAAGTTTTGAGGTTTCCCAGTTATTAGATAATCTCAATGGGGTACAGAACGATATCGTAATGACCTATGATACAGAAAATAATGACCGATTGCCCTTTTTGGACATATTTTTCAGTTGAGATGGTCAGTCTATAGGAAACCAACTTGGATGGAACAGTATTTAAATTTCCATAGTTTCTCTCCATTGTAACACAAGCGACGCTTGGTTAAGTTCCTTTTCAATAGGATTCAAATAATATGCACCACTGATACGGTTGAAGTACATGAAAAGCTGCTGACTGGCACACTACCAAATGGTTATCTACTAACGTTTATAAATAGGTTCAAAATTCAGTCAACACACGATATCTCGTTTATTCGGTCCTGAAGAAAAACGTTTATATCTATCTACCATATAGAGGTGAATGCAATAGTGTGGTCTTAAGACAGAGATTGGAAGCAGCCATTGAGAAAACCTATTATGCTGCTAAACTG